CAATTCCAAAGGGTGCCTCGGGTGTTTTTAAAGAGCCCGAAGGCTTTCAGGTCAGACAGAGTTTGCGTCACTCGGATTGGCATATTCTGGAGAAGTGGTAAGATTCCTACGACACCGCCGGTGGACTGGTCATGGCGCTGTAACCAATTTTCGCGTCGGGCCTGTAGTTCCGTCGCCTCCACATGAAAAAGCGGGGTATCTTGCGCAATGATCCAAAGCAACTTGTGTTTGCGAGTGGTGGCTACCCATTTGGCACGAAGGTTGGCTGCAATGTACTTGGCGGCATTCAGCCCGTGCACAAACGGATGGTTGAGGAAATGCTCGGCTTTTGGGTCTTTGCCTACGATGCATCGACGTGCCCTTTCCTGCTGGCAAATTACACATTCCAACTGGTTGGGGGCGGTGGGTTGAAGATGTAGGTTGTTGCAAGTTTTTTGGCCGCAGCTGGCTTCATTGGTTTGAAAGGACCACGAGCCGGCATGGAGTGTTGGAAACCCGTGTAAGAAAGACCACACTTCCTGCGACATGTTTCCATGCCTCGCCTGGTGAAGAATTTGGCTGAGCCAGGCGTCCTCGCACCGCTGTTCGAGGGTGAGTTCAAACAGGTGTGGGATGGCGAGCGAGGTGTGCGACCAACATATTTGCTGCAGTGCGTTGACTTGGAAGCTTGCGTTTGACTGGAAAGGGTTCTGGTAGATGGCTGTGGCTTTGACTGGCGGGAACTGCCAAAAATCCCCGGTCAAGATGAGGTTGCGCCCTCCGAATGGCCTCCGTTCTCCCCCCGGCCGAAGTTTCCACGTATCCCGATCTCTGGTAGACTGCTGCAGGCGTTTCTCCAGCGTGGCCAATATTTCGAGCCCAACCGTCGAAGATTCATCCACCACCAGCCACCGTAGGCGTTGGTACTTAGCGAACTGTTCCGGTGTGCTGGTGTTTTTTGCTCGGGCCGTTTTGGTTTTCACCTGGATATTGGCAAACGAGTGTAGCGTCATGCCAGCAATCAGTGCAGCCTGGGTGTTCTGCGGTGCCAAGTATACAAACTCTTGTTGATGCTGCCACCCGCACAAATCTTCGAAAAAAGCACGCAACCACTTGAGGGTTTGGGTTTTGCCTGCACCTGGAACCCCGTGGAAGACTGCACGCAAAGGCTCGCTGCGGGAACTTTCGGCCTGTTATTCTTGAGCCTCTGTGAGGCAGCGGTCGACGACAGCACGCAGGAATTTCAGTTGTTCGACTGTGGGTTTACATGCTGACCGCGTCTCCGCATTTGCTGCGCGCGGTTCTGCACTGGCTGAGCGCTGCTCTGCACTGCCTGCGGCTGAATCGACTGCCACCGAGCCCTGCTCTGCGAGACGCTGCAGCCATGCTGTGGCAGACTCTGGCGTCAACCTGCCGTAGGTCCAGCTCAGGGGTTCAGTCTCCGGCAACGGCGTCGGTTGCTGCCGTTTCCTTTGACTATGAGCAAGCTTTGTGTCAGTTATTCCACTGTTTACGAACCAAGAGTTTATTGCATCAACCTGCGGAGTAGCTTCCCATTCCTCAACTATGCGGCGTACCGCTGGACCTGACCGTTTCGAATATTCGAAGCCCACACCTCGGACAAGTTTATTGATGGTGTCAGAAGTTACCCAGGTCGTATCCACTTCATGGTCTGTTGGCTGGGCTGGTGTTTCGGCCAGGTCGACTTCTTCTGGATCACACTCCGTTGCGGACAGAAAGTTTCGAATAGTGCGAGCTGCATGTTCAGACACAACGTGCTGCTGGATATATGTTCTCCATGCTAAATGGTGACTCCTTGGACCAGGTGCTGTCTTCGTCCGCAAGCGCGTACTCGGGTTAAGACTATTACTTCTTATCTCTAAGTCTAAAGCACTGATGTGCGGGACATGGGGGGTAGCACTTTTCGGATCAAGTGTCCAGGGCCTCAGATAGACATTGAGGAGCCTCGCCTGTGCATCCTTGGACATGTCGGGCTTCGGCAACGGACAGGTTGTCGGATATGGAATCAGCGGTTCGGTCCGTCTTTCGAGATAGTATTCCTGTACTCGACTGCATCCATTGCACTGCGGTAGTCGGACAAGGTTGACGGCTCGGCTATTTGGCAAGGGATGTTTCCAAATGTAATCACGGCCATATTGCCAGCCATCCACCGGTTTCCTGTCGGTGCCGTCCTTCCTCACCCAAACACTGAGCCCTTGTCCGTCTTCAGTTGCATTTTTGGTGGGCGGCTGTAATTTTTTTAGACTCCACCATTTGATAAACTCCCACGGAGACAAGTGAAACACTCGCTCGTCGGTTCCCCGCCACCCGTATACTTCGGAGGACTTCAATGTACTCTTGTGCGGGTTGGGGGGTTCCACTTTATGACGAATATCTGTGACATGGTCTAATATACCAACCCACTCGATTCCGACAAACGGGACTACGGGGAAAGTGCGGATGCACTCGGCGGAGGTGGGATCGGTCATGTTGCTGAAGCCCGCAAGCATAAACTCTTCTGTGACTGGGCGCACTGAGCAACGAAATTCGAGATCCCCGAAGACTCTATGCACAACTTTGCGGTAGTGTGCTGCAGGGTCCTCTTTGGCAGCTGCTTCTTCCAGGAAATGCAATTGCTTGGCCGCTTGTTGCAATTCTTTTCTTCCGAGCGGCTGCGGCTTCTGCAAATAGCCGGTGAAATATCTGGTGGACCGGCGGGCTGCTTGCGCCATCGCCCTTTGCAGTTTTGGGAGCATGTTCTTTGCCAAGCAGCCTCGGGTGCAGTCGGTGTCGTGGGTGTTCGCCGATAAAGGCACCCGGAAATTTATGGCGGTGTGGGAGGTGCCAAATAACATGAGGGCGAATGCATGCATGGTGCCTGACAACCAAGGATCGTCTCTTTTGTCTAATACCATGCCTAATGCATTCCGCCGCCCGGCAGTGCTCTGCACAAATTTTCGTGCGTTCCCTCTGCAAATTACTCGAACCTTGTCGTTCAGCACTTTTGGAAAATTGTGCTTACACTTATTTGGCGCCCCCTTCTTTCTGCAACCGGCGATTGGCAACCGACACTTCTGCGTGACGTTCCACAGATGCCAGTGAAGCTGCTGATGGCTGATCTTGCTCTGTGCTGCTCGACGGTAGTGGTGGATGAAACGACTTGCGTCGGCCAATGCCTGCTTGGGTTCCACTGCGTTCAACCATGGACTGGCCGCTGTGTCCTCAGCAAGGAATTTGGGCCACTGACACAAAAAATCGTGGCTTGCTTTGCAGTTGTTCTGGGCCCAGTCTGCTTCAAGGTGGTCTTGCTGTTGCGTATGGCTTGCTAGGTCAAGATGGGATTCGGAGTGTGCCCATGTCAAGAATTGTTGCACGTCCTCGAATGTGATGGTGCTGTCATTCAGTTTGGCTGCAAGTTCACTCAAAGATTGTTGCCAAATGGACGCGATGTACACGTTGCAATGGAAATGCGGTGTGGAATTGGCTTGGTATTCGATTGCCCCGCATAGGCCGCTAGCAATGCCAAGGATGCCCCCCGTCACGTGACACCCGTGTCCGCGTGCATCGCGGCAATCGCATGCTGGGCAACGAAAACACATGCGGATGCCGAGCAGTTTGGCGAAGATGCACCGCACCACGGTTTGGAAGCTGAGAACGACGGCCCACGGATCCCTCGCAGTCAGCTGTCTGCGAGTGTCGTATGGCGGCACGTCGATGGTCGCCTCTGCCGTCTCCCATAGCTTCGGGCGCTCGCGCGCTCCTTCGGCGGCTCCGCCAGGATCTGCGGCACGATAGCGGCTGAATTTGATGCACAAGGTGTTATGACGGGTTGTGGGAGATATGGTGATGAAGAGGGGTTCTCCCATCTCAACCCTGGCCCCGAAGAGGAAACGTCCAATCCGACGTCGTACTTCAATCGTTCCAGGCATATGGCCTTGCATGCCTTTCACGTCCTGGAGCAATTCCTTTTCGTCGGCTGTGAGGCCGCGGGCATAGGGGAGTTTGCGGGTGTCAAAGTGTATGGGTTTGGGCTTCCCACCTGCAGTGCTATATGTGCCGGATCTCAGCTTGTTGTAGAGGCCACGAGCCGCTTGGACCCACTTGAGCATAGGTGCCGGTGCAAGGGCTTGCCGTTGTGACTTCCATTTCCGCCACAGGGAGCCGTGCCACACCGAGTGCCATTTGAATGTCAATCGTCGCAGCCCGGGAATCAGATCCCATGAGTTGCGAATTGAACTCTCAATGCGTCCGGCCAGAAGTTTCAAGTGTGCCAAGGGTTGCAAGTGCGGCGCATCTGCGGGCCTCCGTGGTCGCTCTTTGTGGGGAAAGTCCGGACCACTGACGGGTGCGGGGAGGCTGAAGGGAAAAGCCCAGGGGAGAAAGTCATTCTGCCACTGGTCCCAGAAGTTGTGCCCGGTTCGAATAGTGAGTGTGTCAGTCGCATTGCCTAATTGCAGCAACATGTCGACGTCGGGGTCTTTCCACTCTGCACCCGTGTAATCTTGTGACAGTACATTGGGTCTCACACTGGCTACGAAGGATTCGCCATTCAAAGCTGTGTCTGCGACTGACTCGGGTGTTGCATGCTTCTGCGGCCGCGGCTGGCTTACGTCTGCACTGGCAGGAAAAAAAAAATTAGCATGGCTCGGACGAGCCGATGTGGTCTTTTCGTGGCTTTTGTCTGATGTGGTTGCCTGAGCGCTGCTCTGGCTTGTCACCTGCGATGATGGGTCGTCGCCCGGCGAGGCATCCCGCTCAGGCTTTACATGTAGAAATGGAAACTTGCCGTGGCTAGGTGCTGACACTGTCACTTCTTCCTTCTGCGACGAGGTCGAGTCTGCTATGCCTTCAGCTGTCATCTGAGGGCTGCCCTGATCTTTTCTCTCTGCTACCATCTGGCACATGCTCTGGGTTAGCATGTTGTGCAAGGTTGCGTTCGCATCGCTGTGGCTTGTCTGCTGTGGAGCCGTTTTGCTGTACACTTGGGTTGTCTCTTCGGAGTGCAGGTGGGAAACGATCTTTCGGGATGCAGTTTTCGCAAGAGAAGACTTGAAATGTTGCTCCACAGACGCTGGCTGAAACGAGCTCTGGCCGCTCATGGTTGGGGCCTCGGTCTCGTTATTTGCACTCGTTGCTTCTGATTTCACATTAACTGCTGCCTGAGCGCTGCTCTGGCGTCGTGCGCAGGGGTGCGCGCCGCTTGATGTCCCAGTCGGTGCAGAAGTTTCGTTCAAGTCGACTAGCGGCCTTGTTTCGTCCACCCCATAGGTCCAGGTCACACGTTGCGTCACTGCTGTTTTTGCTTCCTCTGCCGACAAGTCCGACGCACACATTGGATGTTGTATGTCGATGAGGTGATGTAAGAGTGCAGTGACGACCCAGGGTCGGATGCGTGCTCCTGCTACCCACTCGATTGCCTCATTGTATAACATGCCCTTCACATTGACTTTGACAATAGCTTGGAGGACATGTGGCGGGTGAGGCAACCTTTCCCAAGAGTTGTTCTGTCGGGTCTCGGGGGCCAATGCGGCGAGCACCTCTTCCCATGGAATGCTAAAGGAAGACACATTGCCTCGGATTGCGGTTCTGTGTTCGGGCCGCTGCAAGTGCTCTTCTATCAAGTTGCCTCGGTCGGCTTCCAGGTAGTAATTGATGACGGAAGTCCAGACCGGAGAAGCAGCTGCCGCTTCTATCCAACGCACTCTGTAGGTGTACAACAACTCTGTTGGGTATCCAAACCAATTGTCGTTTGCAAGGGCTTCTGGCACTGCACCAGCGTCCTGTTTACACATGTGTTCGAGGCACTTGCGACACAATGGCAGTTCACAAGCCTCACACAGTTGCAGCGCATTCTCGGCGCAAAGTCCGCAGCGGACATCTTCTGGGCAGCAGATGAGTCGCATCCCGTTGCAGATGGTTGCTGGCAGTGTTCGCGTCCACTCGTGTGCTTCGAAACGATTGGTCACAGCAGCCAACGTAGCATATTGCGTCATGTATCTTTCCAAGTTCCAGTTTGCTTTGACCGCTTCTGGGGTCAGTGCATTGAATAACTGCTTGACAGATATGTAGGCAATCTCCCCTCCCATGCCTCCTGGACTCACTCGGGCGCAACAGGCGCAAATCAATGCTTGGCAAGTGTTGTCGTCCAAATCCACTTGTAATCGACGCAGTGTGCGCCGATCGACGCTCCAGCCAACTTGTGGGACCTGCCCACGTTCCCTTTCTAGCACTGCAGCTGTGTATGTTGAAGCCACAAGTTCACGGGGTATGTTCGTAAAGTGTTCAGCATGACACTCATCGAGGTGTGCCCACAAACACACCTTCCCGTTTCCACAGCACTGCAAGGTAGTGTGTGCCCATGTTGTTGCTTTCATGTTCCACACCTTTTCCTTTGACCAGTGCGGGTGGCACGGTTGTGTGTCGGATGCCCACCCGCATCTCTCAAAAGCACAATGGACGGCTGGGTATACGAGACCACTATTAGGCTGCATGGTGGAGAATTCCGTCATCGCGGCTGGAGATGGCAGCAGAGGATGTTGTCGCAGATGGAATGCTGTGCGTCGAATGCGTTCTTGGTCACGATCTTCGACAGTGACCCATGTCTTTGTCGAGTCCACGGTGACTTCGACTTCTGCCTCTTCTGTGGTCTCGGATAGGTTTGAATCCCAGGAAAGCACGCTTTCAGAATCCAGGTCGGTTGCTGCACCCTCCGACGCCTCTGCGTCGTCATGCCCTTCCCAGACACCAGTGGCTGCCTCTTTGCCGGCTTCAGTTGTGTCATGCACCTGCTGCGACCGATTTGGCTGACACGTTGTTGCATCCGATTCCGCCGCAGTGGTGCGGCTGGTCCGCTGCGGTTGCCCGGATGACCCTGCCGTTGGCTGCTCTCCTTCCTCTGCGGCATGATTTTCGCACACTGCACTCTGATCTTCAACGTGCGATGACTGACTATGCAGCGACATGGGTGACACTTCCACTGGGTTTCGGAGGCTTTCTGCAGCAAGACACAACACTGCTTCTGCACTCTCTGTTCTCCACGTTTCCAACGATGGTGTTTCAGGGAATGGTTCGCGCAATGCTTCCGCGCGTTGGACGAGGTCATAGTGCCCGGTGATGCCAGTGTTTCGGTGGAAAAGTTCTAAGACATTGGAATGTTCTTGCAACTTCTGTTGTGTTTCTGCATCGGTGATGTAGGCCATCTCCCGGATCCAAATGTTTTTGTTATCTTCTTGGCTCCAAATGAGACAGTGAAAGTCAAAGGCTTGTGTGAGTGCCCACAATTCCACCACTGAGCCATGGTGAATGGAATCTAACATGCGTGGCTTTTCCAAAACAGCCACCACCTTACTCCAAAGCACGATTTCGGCAGCTGTCAAACCTTCTGCCGCCTCCAACTGCTCTGCTTGCTGAAGGAACCCCAGGTGAAGGCCTGCTTCTCGGTCATCAAACGGCACACTGGCAATCGCAACCTCATCTGCTCTGGGTCCATTCTTTTGCTTACACATCCATTCTAAGGCTTGCAAGTATAACTTTGCAGCTTCGGGTATCGACCACGACTGCCAACCGCGACAATGGCGAAGGACTGCATGGAAAAACACCAACCGTCACCAGGGATTCTGATTAGCTCACACCCTATTCGGGTCTGCACACGGACGGCCAGTTTCCGGTCCTCATCCTCCTCCACTTCTTTCTGGAAACTCGGGTTGCTAGGTTGTGCTCGAAGCGAGGAGGCGGCATCCACTCCGTCTGCAACTCTGGCTTTCTTGCTAAGGACGGGATTGCTGCCGGCACTCGCGTCTATGCATTGGCTGGGTGTGGACTCTTCTGCTTGTCGTCGGTTCGCTTTCTTCATCGTGTTGCCATGCATTGCACGCATCAACTGGTTTCTAAGTTTCCGAGACGTTGCCCATGCGTTCCTCACTGGTTGCGCTGCTGCGATGTTGCCCTGGCTAGCGCCTTCCACACATACCCAACTGGCTGGTGAGAACAAGAAGATGGCTGCAATCAATATTTGCAGTCTACTTCGTGGCGATCCTGGTTGCCGCCTTGCTTTCACCCGAGCTTTGCCCACCCGACGTGCTTTCCTCACCCACCCACTGCGCAGTCGTGCACTGGCTAGAGCACGTTGCGCTTGGCATGCAAAGACACAGGTGAAGAGATTGACCGCAAACAGGAAATCTATTTGTTTTGCGCTGGCACCCAAGCATGCTGCGGTGACTGCCATGCCCCAGCTCAAAGATGTATATTTCCCCGGCAACCTTCGTGTCCAGTGTGTGTGCTTGCTGGATCGGTTGCGCGGCCCCTTGCCACACGCAGCTGGCACTGACTGCCGCCGCACGCAATAAGACTTCTTCATTTGGGAGGCAAGCCAGAACACCATGCTCAGTGCTATGCAGCAGACAGCTACCTTGGTAGCATGCTCACGCAGTATGTCACTGGCTATGGCATCCCACTGTGTCATGGCTGTCCGCTTTGGGACACTCGTGCTTTGCGAATTCGTTGTCGGTGGTGGCGTGCTTCATTTCATTTCATCTTCGTACTGTTGCTTGTAAACAAACACCTGCAAGTGTTCCACTTCTCTTTAAGTTGTGCCTGCTCCTTTGCCGGGGTTTACTCTGTGCGTTGCATTTTCCCCGCTACTTCTTCTGTGTTTACCTTTGTGTCTTTCTGCAGTGCTCCGGTTTGTCTTCCTGCAATGCTCCGGTTTTAGATTTCCTACGCGTACGTCTCCCACTTCGGTTCGTGGGGTGCGTGTGTGTATGTGTGTGTGTGTTTACTTCTCTGTCCACTTTCGTTACTTAGCCTAGAGCCTTGGCGCAACGGCCGCGGAGAGACTGCGTGCCTTACTTTGTTTATCAGTGGCGGTGTCTACAATCCCCTGTTCAAAGGTTAGCCCTCGCTGTCTTTTACAAACTCTTGCTACGGAGTTTGTTGCAGCTTCCTCAGTTCCAAACAAAAACAAACCAAAGATGTCCATATATATCTATATCTATATATATATACATATATATATATACATGTATATTTGTGGATATATCTCTATGTAAGTATATATATATAGAACTGTATCCATTCAGTACTCTTGCAGTCAGTTTCCTCCGATCTCTCTTAAGCGAGCTGAGACAAACAAGCCAGGCCACCTGCAAACTTGCCGGCGTCGCCCCAAGGCACCTGTCACCATGTTGCCGCACTCATGCCATCAGTTTTCAGCAGTCATCCTAATGCAGTACTGCTGCAGTCGTGTCGGGTCTTTGCTTTGGCAGTCAGTTCCCTCCAGTCTCTCTTAAGCGAGCCGTTGCTCATTGCAAACATGTTGGCGACACGAACACTTGCGGGCTCCAAACAGGCTGGCTGACCCCAACTCTGCCAGACCGCTCTGCAGCCTGAGAAAAGAAGATTTTGGGCAGTACCTACTGGCAAACAGAGACTGCGTGCCTTACTTAGCTTATCAGTGGCGCTGTCTGCAATCCCCTGTTCAAAGTTTCGCCCTCGCTGTGTTTTAGAAGAACTTGCTGGGGTGTTTGTTGCAGCTTCTTCGTTCCAAGCAAAAACAAACAAAATATGTCGAGATATATCTATCTATATATATATACCTATCTATCTATATATATCAAAATATATATATATGCATATATATATATTTGCTGATATATCTCTATGTAAAAATATAGATAGATATATATAACTGTATCCATTCCGTACTCTTGCAGTCCGTCTCCTCCGATCTCTCGTAAGCGAGCGGAAACAAACTCTATATATATATATATGTATATGCATATATATATACATATATAAATATATATTTGCTGCTATATCTCTATGTAAAATATATATATATATAACTATGTCCATTCCGTACTCTTGCAGTCCGTCTCCTCCGATCGCTCGCTAGCGAGCGGAAACAAACAAGCCAGGCCACCCACAAACTTGCCGGAGTCGCTCCAAGGCACCTGTCACCATGTTGCCGCACTCATGCGATCAGTTTTTAGCAGTCATGCTACCGCAGTGCTGTTGCAGTCGCGCCAGGTCTGTACTCTTGCAGTCAGTTCCCTCCTGTCTCTTCTAAGCGAGCTGCGACAAACTAGCCGGGCCACCCACAAACTTGCCGGAGTCGCCCCCAGAGCACCTGTCACCATGTTTCAGCAGTCACGCGATCAGTTTTCAGCGGTCATCCTCATGCGGTGCTGCTGCAGTCGCGTCAGTTCTGTCCTCTGGCAGTCAGTTCCCTCCAGTCTCTCTTAAGCGAGCCGTTACTCATCGCAAACATGTCGGAGAAACGAGCCATTGCGGGCTCCAAACATGCTGGCTCACCACAAACATGCCAGGCCGCCAGCAAACCACGGCCGCTACCAGCGCTGAGCGCTGCTCTGCGCTCCAAGGACTATGCAAGGGAATGTTCTGAACTGGCTTGGGATTGTGGTGGATTCTGCAATCTGTGGCTGCAAAACGCTCCACATGAGGCAGTGCAGTTCAAAGGCTTGTGTGAGTGCTTACAATTCTCGAACCGAGCCATGGTGAATGGACTCCAACCTGCGTGGCTTTTCCAAAACGGCAATCACTTCATACATGTCCGTGCGCACCTCCGCGCTGCAAAACTCTTGCATGATGTACTGACGCATTTCTGGCCACAAATTACCGGTTTGCAGCCTTCTGGCTACCCATCAGAAACGTGGGGGCACAGGGTCCGGTTTGACATCACCGACATGCGGCTCCGGTTTGCACACCGCATTGTGTGTCTCACGCTTTTCAACTCCCACCCCACAATGCTTGCGAACTCCCTGAGCTTGTGCACGACTTTCTTCCTCGCGATGCGAGGCCACAAAAGACCTTCCTCCAACAGCGGCTCTTCCTGTTTCAGACGGCTCTCCCGACTTCGGTGCACCTACGGTACACCCGGGCTGTCAGCCCCCTTCCACCGAAGGATGCTGCCGGGACGCCCGAAGTCCCGGCCCCCGTCCTCCACACCCCTCTTGTCCTATCCCCCGCGACAACAGCAACAACAACAACAACAACAACAACAACAACAACAACAACAACAACAACAAGGTACAAACAAACACTGGGACCCCGTTCTCTCTATATCTCCCTTTTTGTTTCTACCCTTAAGGGTACAAACAAACACTGGGACCCCGTCGTTGTTATTTAGGGGGCCCCCCCCCCCCAACAACAACAACAACACATACCGTTTAGTTCTGGCAGTGCTGGACCCCTTTTCCAGCCCTGAGCGGCCGAGATCCTCCAAAAAGGGGGCTGCCGCCACATCAGTTCAGACCTTCACCTTTTTCCAGGTGCTGGACCCCTTATTGCGCCCTGAGCGGCCGAGATCCTCCAAAAAGGGGCGCCGCAATCTGACACCCAAACGTGCTGCCATTTGGTTCTTCTCAGTGCCTTTGCCACACATAGAGGCTCTACCCCTGTCAGCTCTCTCGGTTGCAGCGCCCCTTTTTGGAGGATCTCGGCCGCTCAGGGCGCAATAAGGGGTCCAGTGCCTGGAAAAAGGTAAAGATCTGAACTGATGTGGCGGCAGCCCCCTTTTTGGAGGATCTCGGCCGCTCATGGCTGGAAAAGGATTCCTACGGTAGATAAGGAGAAGCCGTTCAGCAATAGAAGCAGTCCAGTTTCCCATCACAGAAGCGGAGGTAAGGTTCAAGGCCTTGCACTGTAGTGGCGCAATAGAAGCAGGCCAAGCATAAAATATCTTCAGCGGGATCCTCTTCCAGAGAAGCCATGCACTTTCCCTGTGCCAAAGAAAAAAGCAAGTTGAAGCCGAAATGGAAGCTACATTGATGACAAGTTGCAGCGCCCCTTTTTGGAGGATCTCGGCCGCTCACGGCTCAATAAGGGGTCAAGCGCCTGGAAAAAGGTAAAGATCTGAACTGATGTGGCGGCAGCCCCCTTTTTGGAGGATCTGGGCCGCTCATGGCTGGAAAAGGATTCCAACGGTAGATAAGGAGAAGCCGTTCAGCAATAGAAGCAGTCCAGTTTCCCATCACAGAAGCGCCATCTGCTCTACCAACTAAGCTAGGCCAGCCTGGTGTGCAAGGTGTGCTCGGCAAACGTCATTCCGCGGGTGTTTCGGGAAAGGGATCTGCCAAGAGAAAGCAACCCTGACAAGCAGACAAGCACACAGAAACCGAGAGAGCTGACAGGGGTAGAGCCTCTATGTGTGGCAAAGGCACTGAGAAGAACCAAATGGCAGCACGTTTGATGTCAGGTTGCGGCGCCCCTTTTTGGAGGATCTCGGCCGCTCACGGCTGGAAAAGGGGTCCAGCACAAGGAAAAAGGTAGAAATCTGAAATCAGATGCTGCTGGACCCCTTTTTGGAGGATCCGGAACGCCGGCAGCACAAAAAGGGGCTCGGCAGCTAGAAAATGAAAGGCAAGATCATGGAACTCCAAACGAACAGGCTGCGGGACCCCTTTTGGCGAGATTTGGGCTGCAGGATCCCCAAAAAGGGCTCCAGCGGCTAGAAAATGAAAAGCTAAAGTATGGAACTCCAAACGAACAGGCTGCAGGACCCCTTTTTGCCAGATTTGGGCTGCAGGATCCCCAAAATGGGGTCCAGCAACCTGAAAAATCACACTGATACAAAGCGAACCTGCTGGACCCCTTTTTGCCGGATTTCGACGCCAAAAAGGTACAAAAAGGGGCCCAAGAAGCTTTTACAAAGGTAAAAAAAAGAGCCAAAAGTCTGCACCAAAATTCTTTTTTAAAACGGTGCCAAACTCCAAGGACACCCTTAAGGGGCACCAAGCAAATTCCAAAATAAGCTCGAATACCTTGTTCTAAGGGCCCCAGTCTTTGTTTGTACCAACAACAACAACAACAACAACAACAACAACCACAACCACAACCACAACCACAACGACAACCCCAACCATAACAACCACAACAACGACCACAACAACAACCACCACAACAACAACAACAGCAACAACAACAACCTGGCCGGCGCCCGGCTGTCAGGCGTAAGCCTCATAAATCCGGCCAGGGGCCCCCTGGCCGTGGCATTGCCGAAGGCGGTTCTCTCCTCTCCGTAGGAGAGAGGGGCCGCCGCCCCAGCCGCCGACCACCCGGTAGGGCCAAAAACCCCCGCGTTTTACGGTGTTTTGTGCTCGTCGCATTTTTTCCCATTTTCCGGATCTTGTGGTTTAAGATGGGTCAACATGGGCCAACATAGGCCTCAAGCGGGGCCAACATAGGCTTCAAGATGGGCCAACGTAGCCCCAAGCGGGGCCAACATAGCCCCAAGATGGGCCAACATAGCGCCAAGATGGGCCAACCTCGCCCCAAGATGGGCCAACATAGCCCCAAAATGGGCCCACATTGCCCTCAAGATACGCCAACATAGCCCCAAGATGGGCCAACATAGCTCCAAGATAGGCCGCCGACCATCAAAATATCCTGCGTTTTACAGTGATTTTTTGCTGTTCCCATTTTTCGGATCCTTTGGCTCAACATGGGTCAACATGAGGCCAACATAGGCCAACATAGCCACAAGATGGGCCCACATTGCCCGCAAGATAGGCCAACATACGCCAACATAGGCCAACATAGCCACACAATGGGCCTACATAGTTGGGCCCCTGGCCGGCTGTCGCGCGTAAGCGCTTAAATCCGGCGACGCCGTCCTGTGGTGGTGGCTAAGCATAGCTTTAGCTACCCGGGGGCGCGCCGGTGCCGCCGACCCTCCCCAAAAATCCTTCAGCCTGGTGGGGTTTTCACGTTTTTCGGGGTCTGGGGTGGACAAAAAGAGGGTGAAATTTCAAGATGCGTTTTGGAGGTCCTAAAATCGGAAAAAAATGCCGTTTTGACACATTTTTCGGACGATTTTTCGCTTTTCGGAAGTCACAAAATGCTGTAAATTACAACATTTTTGCGTTTTAACGTCGTTGGCGGGAGCCATGCACAAACGCAGAAAATGCTGTAAATACCAGTACTTTTTGGACCCGAGATGCACAAAACACTGCAAATACCAGTGTTTTTGAAAGCCAAGCAAAAAAAACACTGTAAATTACAGCATTTTTGGCGGGTTGATCGCAAAAAATGCTGGTATTTACAATGTTTCTGCAATTTCAAGCAAACGTGGAAGGCACGAAACACTGTAAATAGCGGTGTTTTGGCAACTTTTGGACGCCGAAACGCTGGTATTTACGCAGTTTTTTGCTTGTGACGGGGCCACTCCCCTGTAAATTACAGCATTTTTTGCACTTTTTGAACCGATTTTTTGTCTTGCTGCATGCAACAAACGCTGGTATTTACACGTTTTTCAAAAAATCGAAGATCGTGATGTGAACGAAACTCTGTAAATAAGAATGTTTTAGCCACTTTCGGGGACTAAAACTGTTGTATTTACACGGGTTCTTGCCATCTCACAGCGCAAAATGCTGTAAATTACAACACTTTGCGCATAGGCATAGGCCAACATAGCCTCAAGATGGGCCAACATAGCCCCAAGCTGGGCCAACATAGCCCCAAGATAGGCCGCCGACCCTCAGCATGTCATGTTCGCAAGTTCAGATGACATCCCCCTCTCTCTTTCCCTCCCCCGACCCCTACCGGCGTCGCCGGTGTGCGAAGCTCTACAATATATATATATATATATACGTTTTAAAAATGATTATATATGCATATCTGGATGATTCTGGATGTGTGCTTGAATAAAGTGACGGATCTGTACATAAATAATATGCACCTGTTGGACAATGACATCTTCATTTCCTTCATGGTGCAAAGCACTGTATTTGACAGTTTGCACTGGCACGAGTGGTTGTGAAACAATTGATTGGTAATTGAGAATATGCTGCCAATCCTTCTCAACCATGTGAAAGAAGCAGGACTCATGTTACAATGTCCATGGAAAAATCTCTCAAGTACGACGCGTACGACTTAGCAAAGCTTTTCTCACGATCAGACCACCGCCACGCCGCCACGACCAAAGTTTCTGATGTCATCAGCACCCGCACCTCTTCTCGAGAGCTATCGCGATTCTTGGACCCTTCCTGCAACATCCCGCCCTGATTGGCCCAAGTCAAAAAGGATCAACAGAGGTGACCAAGATTGATCAAGGTCGTTCACAAATTCCAAAGATTGCAAAGTGGATCAAAGTGGGTTGGGCTCAACGCTATGAAAGAAATATATCATGCTGCAATCTCTGAAATTGTTCCCAAAATCCAACGGGTTCTTTTGCTCTGTTCTGCCACGCAGCATCAGCACAGTCTTGAGCAGGGCGCGCTCATTTTGAGGAGCACTCTGCTGCTTGAAATATCGCCACTGATCTTCCGCGGCCATCTTCGACGATTTTCACATGTCAAATCCACTGTCTGTGTGTGGAATTGGTTAGAGAAACTTGATTATGCGACAAACACCCAAAAGAATAATAACAAACTCGCAGTATACGTGTAGAAAAGAATTGGATTAGACTCTTTAGACTTTGATTATAGTGCAAGCATCATACAAATAGATAGAAGTATAGAGTGTTGATTTAGTTTCTGAGTTCACCCGCCTTGATAGTTTATCTCCTGTTTATGGATCCATAAACCCAAGGATGGAATAAATTTGCTGAGACGCCTCAACACGCTTCAACGATTTCTACCGGCCTAGGGCCAGGACCAACCCTCCAGTTACCAACAGCACAACCAGCAGCGCCAGCGACGCCACAATGCAACGCGTCTTCCGGGGATTTCGCTGTGGGTCCCAAATCTCGGTGGAGCCACCGGGGGTTGCAATGGATCAATGGTGTTTCAATGCTGTTTTTCAAGCTGAAATCACTGAAATCTGGTCCTCTGTTGGGTCACACTATTCGCTAACCCATTGTGTTTACGCACGTTTCTTTATCAGTTTTAAGACTTTGGTTATTGTCATGAAATGTCATGAGTCATAAAACTGTCTTCCACACATCTTCATCGTCTTATCATGTCTTATCCATGTCTTATCCATGTCCATATCTGCCAAGACATTCCAAGACTGCCAAGAGTCGTAGGTAAAGGTCATGTCCAGGATGAGCATCTTCAGGATGCTGGGTCTCAACTTCTCAAGTTGGACGGGTGAGCCGGTGGCCAGGTTGCGAATGTGAGCGTTATGCCAAAAATTGTTGAAGGCCGCACCCAGGGAGTTGTCAATATACCTGGAGCTGAGTGACTCTCAAACCTGCCAAAACTATCCAAAACTCCCAAAGGAACAGCTAAATGCGGAACGTCAAAGGAGGTGCCATGCCAGATTCGTACATGTGGGATATGAATCAATGCTAAACCCGGTCAAACCATCACACCACGGCCTTTTGAAGAATGATCTGCTAAGTTCCCTTGCCCAATGACTGAATGGCTACTTCTACACCCGTTCACCTTTCACGGCAATGTACAACAAAGCGAGGTGATCCTTAAGTCCACCGAGGCTACAAACGCATTGTTTATTGCGCTATCTGGCTCAAACTGCTTGTTAGGAGGATCGAAGCAAGCATTTGGCAGTGAGTCAGTGACTCAAAGCACCGACCCATCCCACCTGATTCCAATGACCGGAGCGTGTCGCTTTAGTGCTGTGATTTCACCACTGATCAACTGCTTTGGGCCATCCGGATACACACCTCAGCAATCGGACCCGTTTCAACAGCCGTCCAATTAGTCCACAAATTCTTGCAACCCTGGCATGATGAAACCCACGCGCCGGAACTTTATGTTGGCACATTTCGCCTCCAGAGATGGAAAAATCCAGGGGACCGGGAAAATCACAGCCCCTATACTGCACACAAAGTTGGTCCTTCATTGTGTGTAGCGAAGGGTTCCTTTTTGTAAGGGGATTGGACTTTGGACCCGAATTTGCCGCATGCTGGCTGTATGCAGCCCTGTGCATTGGCTGCGAAATCTACCAGTGGGTCACGACAAGTTGCGTCGGACGAGTTTATATCTCTGGGGTTGTGCTGGGGCAGCCCGTCCCAGGATCGTGTGCCCTCCCGCTACATATTGCCACGCCATGGAGGGAAATGCTGGGGAAAATGCATGCAGATCTTGTTCTCATCTGTGGGTGGTTCATATGTTTTCACGCAAGTACCAGCTTTTAAGATAGTCTCTTCGTTTCACTAGCAGCACTAGCACACACCATGCAGTGAACAAGTCAAAACCTTCCCGATGTACATGGTTGTGTTTGCAAGTCAACGTGACATTTTGGTTATGCCTCAGCCTGAAGCCAAGCACCTATGGTCTTTGTTTGCTCACGTGCACCCCAATCTGTAACATTGTGGTCGAAGCAAAACTGACACAAACAACATTTTGGCAGATTGCAGGTTGACAATGGTTGAAATCACAGGTTCAACAAGGCATGTTTCCTGCATTTTGTATGGGGAATAGTCCTTGTTTGGAAGCGGAACAAGTTCCATGTTTGCTTCGGATTGATCCGTGAGAAAGGCTAACAAACCACCATCGGAAACTAACCACGTGCATTTACCAAAAAAATCCTGGCCTGGTATCGCCTTTTATTTCATTTTTCATTTTTTTCCCTCTGAATTCCCAATTTTGGACCACGACACAGAGTGGCCGCGCCAGGCCGATCACATCCACAGCTTTGGACTGCAGCGCTTCGTTCATGGCGGCAGCTGAGCTGAATCCACCCGTCAGCATCAGGGGGATGTTGCAGGTGGCACCTGGGGTGGGATCTGATCCAACCAAACCCGAGGCCATCTGGTTGAGGGCAAGCTCCCATATTTTCCCCTGACAAAAACGCTTACCAGGGCATTGGGGCATTGCTCATGTGATGCCAAGAGGTTCGAATTCGAATGGAGGTAATTATCCCGGCAAGAGACCCCAAACAGTGCGTAGTTAGGATTCGAAAGGGAAAGGTGGAAAGGATCCAAAATCAGCAGTGGTTCCAAGCTAGCAGGATAAGAGTGACCCTAGTAGTGAAAGAATGGTGTTCATTCAAAGTGGTCTCTGGAAGAAGAGATACCAGGTTAGATTCTGCAAGTTCCCTTTGCGAAGATTTCTGTAAAAAATCGTGGACAAGCTCTCCTTGACAGGTTCTCTGTAGAAGCTGCTGTGCAAGATCCTTTTGCAAGGCTAACTGTACAAGGTCTCTACAAGAGATCACCACCAAAGATCGTAAGCGATCTCTAAGTAAGACCTCTGTTCAAGCTCTCTACAGAAGATCTCTGAGCAAGATTTCTGTTCTCTTCACCAGGTCTCTGTACAAGATCTCTAAAAGAATTATAAGAGGTCTCCTGAGGTCTCCTGGCAAGATTTTTGTGTACAAGATCTCTATAAGAGCTCTGTTGGCAAGATCTCTGTAAGAGACCAGAGACGTCTTGGCAAGATCTTTGCAACAAATCTCTATATGCAATGTCTCCGTACAAGATCTTCAGAAGAGGTGTCCTGGCAAGATCTCTGTACAGGATCTCTTTATGAGATCTCTGTAGCAGCTGTCTATAAGAGCTCTCTTGGCAAGATCTCTGCAAGGGACCTCATGGCAAGATCTCAGCAGATCTCTGCGCAATGCCTCTGCACAAGATCTTGATCAGAGGTCTCTTGGCAAGATCTCTGCACAAGACCTCCTAGACTATCAAAATTCGCACCGCGCCACAAGGAGCGCGATCCCACATGCCCAAAGTGACGAGAGGGTTACGTGAGCACATGTCAGATTTTCACAAAACATTGCGCGCACCACGAAATATGGACACTGAAAATGTCAAAAACGATGCTTTACCTGGGTCTCAGCCACTTTTTTGTCGAGGTCTGCAAAGTACTAAGTACTGCGCCTGCATGACCGTTACAGCAGAAAAGTTCTGACGGAAGTCTCGCACGAAATGGTGTCCCCGAAGATCTCTCTTCCGAAGATCTCGTTTTACGACATTCTGTGTGGCAGGCGTGGCACTTTCGGGGCAGTTTGATGTCTAAAACGTCGTTTTGTGTGGCAGGTGCAGGACATCGGACACTTTCATCCGCGTGGCAAGAGTGGCGCTTTTTGCACGTTGCCAAAACGTTGGCAGGGCTAGGTCAAAAATGAGAGGTGGTTTTGGAGGTAATTTTTTGTGGCAGGCGCAGTACTCGTACTTGGTGAACTTGGACGACATTTTGAAAGGGTCGAAAGCATCGTTTTGTGAAACTGTTGTCATGTTTGATTTTGGACATGATGATGATTCCGTGTGGCAGGTGCAGCACTTCGGATGCCTCGGGCTCATTTTTCGTGCACATGTGCCGCCCATCCCAGAGACCACGTAAAGGAAACTAAAGGAACCCGGGGATCCATGAAAATAAAATACGGGTTTGCCCAAAGAAAGTGTACCTCCAAATCTAATGGTTGATGATCCTCATTTTCCCGATCAAAAATTGCCACGGATAAACCCAAATGGGTTAGGAACATTTAGGAACCACTGGAGTCAAAACCCGTGCGTGGGTGGGATATCCAATGCCCACCAATGGAGATAGATTTGCAAAACAGCTGCATACTCTTGTCCAATATGAACAGAAAGCTAACTGCAAACATATAGGTTCTGTAGATCAGTAGCCGCAGAGGCTGCATAGCAAGTAAATATATGTAAAACAACAACCAAACAAGCAACAAGAATGCGTAAATATTCTTTTGTTTTATTCTCCGCGGCACGGGCTTTCTGGGCAAACTCCAGAAAGAAGGCCTCGCGTTGACGCGTGGAGTCCTTCACCGTCTGCATGGCTTCCATCTTCTCGTAGGTTCCACCACTGATTTCCACCATGTCGACGCCCGCAGTTGCTTCTAAGGCCTAGACGAGAATGTAGGTATACAATCTCTATACATGTATATATTCCATCTAGTTATTGGTTGGTTTACTCTGCTATCTGTTTATGCATATGTGCGTGTGTTCATTTACCTCGATCGATGTGTACGAATACAAATGCGTTATAAACTATCAAACTACATACATATATTATTATATAATATATATATATATGTATAGAAATATCATGAATACTACTAGAGCCCGGGCAAGCTGGGTGACGCAAGTTTCGAAAAGGGTGGAAGCCCATGAAGAAAAGGGAGAGCCTCTAGGAACAACGCCTGACTGCCTGGCTGTCACGGCCGTTGGCTGCGTCAGTCTTTCTGCTTGACATTTCTTTTCTCTCGACATCTTGTCTGATGATGCCACTTTCTCTTGATCCGGTTTGCCCTTGACATCCCTGAATCTTGACAGCCCTTCCTCTTGACAGCTCTGGAGCCCGAGACTTGACACATCCTTCTCTCCTGACAATGTTGTTCTGATTTCATCGCCGGTTCTTGACACCGATGCCTTTTCAGCCGCTTTCCGTTGACGTCTCTTTCTCTTGGCATCCCTATCTTTGGGCATCTCTTTTCTTGAGACCTTCTTCTCTTGACATCCTCTTCTCGGCACACCATTCTCGGTTTTCTCTTGACACCATTTTTCTTGTATCCTTCTGGTTTCACAACTTTTTTCTCTGAGACGTCTTTCTGTTTAAATTGCTTTGCCTTGAGGCCTTCTGTCTTGACATCTGCTTTGTCTTGGGGTGGCGTTGCATTCTCATGATTTCTCTTGCCATCTTTTTCTCCTGGCATCCGTTTTCTCTTGACTATTACTTCGTACTACAAAACTTGGACAAAGTGCTTCCCAGTACCCTTTGTACTACAAGACTTGCGCAACGTACTTCCCAGTACTACTTCGTAATACACAGCTTGCGCAAAATACTTCCCAGTGCTACTTTGTACTACAAAGCTTCTATCCTCACCAGCATCACCTTGACGAAGCAATTCCACTGCCAGCTGCAATCAGCGCCTTGCAATACAACTGCGTGGACCACGGCAATCAGCAACATGGATGCAGCCATTCCAATACAATCTGCACGCCTGAGTTCAACTTTAGCATGGGGGACGCGTCCGAGATAAAACGAGGGAAGACCGGACCCGTCGCCAAGGTTCCCCACATCGCTGCTGGACGCACTTTTTATGAGAAAACACAGGGTTTCGATCGGTTCCTAACGTTGAAGCTGATGTGGTGATGTGGTAATGTGGCGATGTGGTGATGTGGTGATGTGGTGATGTGGTGATGTGGTGATGTGGTGATGTGATGTGATGATGTGATGATGTGATGATGGCAGTTATGGCGGTGATTGATTTTCTTGTTTGCCATATTTTCCGTATGACGGAGTTTACACATCTAAACTTCATTTGATCAAGAAGTCTCAATGTTGACAATGTTCATAATGTTCGACCGAAAACAACCGGGTTTGAAGAGCTGGAAGGTTTTCAATTCAAGTGAACAAAAAACAGGAAGTTTTGACAGGGCATCTAAAATAAGAAGGTTTTGCGGCCTTCAAGACTTCCAGCGATTCTTCTTCTGAGAAACCACCGTGCTGGAAATCGGCTGAATTCAGCTTCACCATCAGCACGAAACCATTCTGCACGCGCTCTCGGATCTTACTTACAATCTTCAACAGCAGAGCCCTTCGTTTCTCTGCGCTGCCACCATATTCATCAGTGCGGCGGTTAGTATGTGGTGACAAAAAGCTGGAGAGCAGGTAGCCATGCGCACTATGCACCTGGACCCCATCGAATCCGGCCTCCTCAGCCCGTTGGGCCGTGGTGGCAAAACGTTCCACCACATCCTCGATCTCCACAGACGTCATCTCCCGTGGCTGTCGCACCATGAGGCTCGTCATGAAGGATGGGAGCCCCGGCATCTTCAACGCCACCTTGGAGGGACACAGTGGCTGACTGCACACAGAGCTTGGACATTGTCGACCAGCATGGCTGATCTGCATGATGGCCAGGCATCCGCTCATCTTGCAGGCCTCCAAAAGGTGTGTGCGGGTGCCAAGGCTTGGAAGAGTTGCATCATGTTGCATCTACCCACAAGACGGTTTTTCTTCCCATTCGGAAACTGATATCCAACAAGACAAGTGCATGGTGGGAGTTTATTCAAGTCCGACACAAACTTCACCGGCCTTGGCCAGCTCGCAAAATTTCTCCAGAGGCGTATCTCTTTCCAGCACCACATTCCGGGGACCCTCCAAATAACGTTTGTCCACTTGCACGTTGCCAGTTATGCATGTGCCCAAACCGCCATTGGCCCAAACCTCTCAAAGCCGCTGGTTGGTTTGCATAGGCTGTGAAAAAAAACACTTGAGATATCATCTCTAATCTAAATGAATGGGCGCATCCAAATACTACCCTAAGGACCACCAACGCCGTCGCTAAATCAAAATCAAAGTTGGTGATACATGGTGATACATGGTGATACATGGTGATACATAGTGATACTTCATTTTGTAGAGGTGTACAGATAGTCCGTGCAATATCCTGCAATCTATGCTGAAGATGGGAAGCGTGAACAAGCGGTATATCCAGTATATCCGATGGTTTTACGACCTTCAGATGTTTGGTCATTTTTAGTTGGCCTCATAGACCTTGATGTGTTGCTCATTGGGCAGGTTGCTTTGAGGATCCGCCATGTGCTCAGTCATGGCGGCTTTGCAAAGGCGGTTCTTCATCTTCGCCCCATTGGGCAGCTGAAATTCCTGGGAAAACATCGACATCGCCACCGATGCCACCGATCTCCGACGCCGAACACCGGTGAATCTCTGAGCCAAACCGCAGACCAGAGTTGGTTGTCCCGTCACCATCCAGTCATCCAATAGATGTAGAATGGTGGGTCAAATGTCGATATTGACCGTCCATCTTTTGGAGTGCCCACACGGCAAATCAGGCCCAAACCATGAATTTGTGGTTTTGTATGGTTGTATATACCCAGTCTGTTCGGTTTCATTCGACTGTTTATTGGCTATGGGACCAAACAACTTGGTTTGGTTTGGTTCACAAACAAATCGGTCAGTGATTACGGCTTTGTCCATCCAATTTCGGTCCCCATCAGCTCCTTTTGTGGAGATGGTGTCGCCTCGTTTGAGGCACTGGCACTTCCACGCCTTACGCGATAAGAGCGCGGTGAAGGTTTTGGAAGAGAACAAATCCGGGAGGACGACTATCTTTCAGTTCCAACCATTTCCAACCGTCAGTTTTTCATTGGTGGTTCAGGATGTTTCAGGATGTTTCAGGTGCATCTACAGTGATGGCTGCCATGTTTTTCCCCGAGCTTCCAGGCGTGGCCGGCTTGTTGCCATCCTGTAGGCCAACGATCGCCAACGGCATCACTCTCAAGACCCGGAATGACCCACAGAGAAAAATCAGAAACATTGCATTGTCGTCGACTGTATTGGGATACTGGCAAGAGATCAAGGACCTTTGTGGAAGTTGATTCAACGTCACGAGGTCGGTTGCTGCTTTTTCAGAAAAATACTTCATTACCTCAAAGCAATCTCTTGCATGTCATCCCTAGACTCACAGGCCTGCGTTTCATGCAAATCCTTGGAAAATGATTGATCCATTCTTGATCTTCAAGTGCAAAGTTGCCATGTTAACGTTAACCATTGTTAAGCATGTACCTGGAGATACCTGAAGTGAAGCGGTATACAGCCCTAAGCCAACTCCATCGGACTGCGACGAATGATTTAGATCTTGGCAGGTCCTCACTATCGCTGCTGCTCTTGTTGGACTGTGCTGCAAGCACCGACTTCCTGCCAACAAGCCAGGCTAAGCCAGGCTAAGCCAGGCTAAGCCAGGGTCCATTGTTTGGTAAATCAGGCCCCCAAAGCACCCGTGGTGTTTACCCCAACACAACTTGGATGTTTCCCAAACATAGAAAAATGCATAGAAATATGTAGAAATACGACCCGTGACTTGATTGCTTTTGTTTGCTTTTCAAACCACGGCCAAGTTGCAGACATTGGTCAGAGACTGTCAAAGATTCACTGGATTTGGATGTTTGGATAGTTACGGATAGTTACGGATAGTTGGCAATGGTGGTGTTCAAGCCTCCCTGATTTCACCATATTTCACCATATGTCACCGTCCTGTAAGTCTGGCGAGCCTTGGACTTTGCCCAAACCTGAGGTTGGAAGTGGCCACTGGTCCATTCCATTCTGCTTGGGAGTTCGGCAACATCAACATGCATTGCATGCAATTATACGATATTATACGTATTCTTCATCTCATGCATTTTGCCTGCTTGTGTGTGTGTATGTGTGTGTGTGTGTTCTATATATGCTACTGTGGTGTATTGCTATGTTTTATATTTGTTTGGAAACTGAAAGGGTCAATCCAAAGTAAAGAAATGAATGCAATGCATTGCAATGCAACTCAAGTGCAATGCAATACGAAATGCGAAGCAATGTGCAAATATGTTGATAGATGCATACGTACGTACGTATCAAATCCGATTTCCAAGCCCAGCAACATAATCAACATATTGAGAATATATTGAGTAGGTTCACCACCCGACAAATCCGACAAAGAAACAGTTGGAGCATGGAATTGCATGAATATTGCATGATTTGCCTGCGAACTCTGAGCTCCAAACTTCCTGATCTGCAGGGTCGCTCTTGATCTCGTTCAAACGGCCGGGCAGCTGGGGCTTGGCAGTCGCCATCTGAGCCGGTCCAATGACAAAATGTGTGTCGAAATCATCTGCTTGGTCTATCTTGATCTTATCCACTTATGGACTTATGGATGCTTCTGTAGTAACTTAGAAAGCATGACAAATGTAAAAAAGAATGTTGATACGTATCAGTTCCTATCTGAAACTCGTCATCACGATTGCCATCAACATGACCAATCATTGTTCTCTCATTGCCTGTATTCTCATTTTCTCATTTCATTGATTAAATAATGTTAAATATGGAGTTGCCTTGCGTGTTTTTTGGCCCTCACCAAAGGGCCTCATACAACTTGGGCCCCGCAAAAGCAACCAGAGCCACCACCAAAGTGACCTTGGCTGGAGAAAAGGAGAGAACCCTGGCAGGTTCCACGTGGATCCACTTCACAAATCTTTACAACATGTTATAACTAACTTATAACATCTTATAACTAATAAGCAATAGTGCTCAGCAGTGACAAGAATGATACAAGAATGTAAATGTTTGATTTGAGGCCATCTTGGAGAACACCAAGCGTTTTCTATCCTTGAAGGAGATATGGCGACTTGAAGTTCACAATGAGACAGCTGCAAGATGGGGTGTCCTGTAAGGAGATCCTTTGTGCGAACAAGTCACGAGCAAAATAGGTTTCCATGGGAGGTTGCCACTGCTGCCGCTGGATTTTGATTTGCCTTTGGATTTCCCTTTGGCTTTTGCGTGTTCATGATGTTCATGTGAACCACTGTCATGCTTGCCTTTGGCATCTGGCAGAACCGCTTTCGCTTTGTGCGCTTTTCCAGCTCCAGTGGCCAAAGCCACGGTGGTGGGAACAGCTGTGGTCGCCGCAGCTGTGGTTGCTGCCCCAGCAGCTGCAGTTGTTGCAGCAACAGTAGTAGCAGCTGCCGTGGTGGCTGCTGTTGTCGCTTCTGCAGCTGTGGTAGCAGCCTCTCCTTCGCCACCCTCTGCTGGGGCTGCCTCCGCTTCTGCTCCCTCAGCCGCTCCCTCGGCTCCATCGGCGGCTCCGTCGGCGGCTCCCTCGGCAGCTCCGTCGGCGGCTCCCTCGGCAGCTCCCTCAGCGGCATCGGCTCCTTCTGCAGCGCCTTCAGCTGGTGCCTCTGCTGCTTCTTCAGTGGCCTCTGCTGCTTCGCCATCACCATCACCATCACCATCTCCATCCCCATCTCCACTATCCTGAAGGTTTTGGCTGCTAACTCAGATCCTTGCTGCTATTGGCTGTGTCATGTGCCCAAAGTCAATCGAATGTTTTGGAGTTGTCTGGAAAAATGATCACCAAGTGTCGAGGCAGAGTTTCGGATCTCAGAATCATGTCCCAAAAATTCGGATCTGCTTTTTCTCACCAAAATTCCATCACTTTTGGATACTTTTGGCAAGTCTTTTGGGATTCGCACCTCTTCCATCATCGCCAAGGATTCAGGATTTCCAAGGTTGAACGGCCTGAAATCAGACAGGAATTGGTGATTCTGGACATCACCCAGCAGTTTGGGGTTACCCTGGTGGGACTTGATTCCGAAACAGTTCCCGATGTTTGGATCAGCATTTTCCGTGTGGATTCGAATGGTTCAAGCATTGAACATGTGCTTTCGTGGTACTTGACAGAAATACAGATTTGAAATACATCGAAACAGCAAGCATCAGAAAATGGTTGCATCATGTTACATCCACATCCGAAATGCTCAGAGTTCCCTTTCAAATCATGGGGCAACAATGGAACTTGGGATGCCAGTTCTGGGCTCCACATGACGCCAACACCCGTGCGGCGCATGTCCACTCTCTGAGCCCCATGCTTTGAGACATCTGCGTGACTATCAACTGCAACAGCCAGCCGGAGCTTGTCCTGTGCGCTGCGTGATGTCCGCTGACAAGTTAAATGCGGGGAATGCAAAAGTCTTCTCTGCTTCATGGATGTCATCTGATGTGTCTGAAATCCATTGAAATTTTGCAGTTGTGGAGGATTACAGCTGCAGGATGTCTGAACCAACGGGTAAATCTCATTCCAAGATTGGCGCCCTTCTTTAACCCACTACACGGTGTTGATTCACCCAAGAATGGCACAATGATAACAACCATGGCTATATGATGCTATATGTATTGAATGTATTGTTTGTCCCATGATCTGAATCTAACTGAAACGGACAAAAAAAATCTGAACTGTCACTCAAACCCTTGGAAATTCGGAAGGTCAAGTCAACAAACTCACGGCTGAGGCAGAGACCTGTTTGCGGAGAAGCCGGCCCCTCAGTGACGGAACTGGGTCACTTTGTGGCACCGTCATGACTATCGCCTTGGGGAATGTCATGACCCCAGTGGTTTGATTGGGCCGATTTTGTGGCCAAAACGCAAGTTCAGATCCAAGAAATCACCAGTTGCATCATTTCTATCAGTTTCATTCATGTTATTTCATGTTCCATCCTGTTGGTCCTATTAGTGACAGATCCCCAGTGGATGTGGGTAGCTCTATCCCTTGTTGCCCAGTTCCTCATCGCTTCCAGGTTACGCATCCGGGCTCGAGGCATGCTCCAGCGACCTCAGTGCAAGTGATTTTCATTTCATGGTGGTTGATGGTGGTTAATGGTGGTTGATCATTTGTTAATGGTGGTGGATCATTTGTTGATGGTGGATGATATGAACATCTGGGTGATTTCTAAGTGTGTGAAATATTATCGCCATCTCTGTGCGCATTTGAGATCCTTTTTGACAGTGAAAGTTGACCATGTCGAAGAATGGAATGATATGGAATGTAAAAGATTGGATATGTCAGTGTATATTCGCATGAAACTTACAGATGCATGACCAGTAAGTCTTTCAGCGTGATTTCTAATGAAACAGGACTCTGTGACTTGAGGCCCAGACTGTTCCAGTGCAGGAGGAGTATATGCAACGGATATGGCAAGGCCTCCCAAGATGTCATTGACACCATGCGTGCCATGGTCACAAAATGGTTGGCATAGTACGATCATCTATCCCCTAATGGGAATCCTTACAATGGATGTATAAACATCCCTATGCATGGATTGATGACCATCTCCAAATATGGGTAAATCATCCATCTTTCGACCACAGCACATTTGGCGTTGAGAATTGTCAGGAATTCCTTCCCACCAAATTTGAGCCGTGTTGATGCAAACTATACTCTCAAATTTAGGGGGTTCAACAGTTTCGGCCCGCTGGTGCTTGTTTTCGATTTGAATTGGTGCTTCTTCTGAATCCGGCTGCGATCGGATGGATGTCTGCAAATTCATCGGTCGATGATCCAGGGAAGGCAGGGTGGCGGATTGAATGTTGCATTCATTATATTAAAATTATATTCATTTTTGCTTGTAAGATTGCAACATGTTCAGAGTAGCCGGATCTGTGAGTCCAACAATTTTGAGACCCCAAAACAATCTCTGCTTGGCAACTTCTCCGAATCCTGAATCTGAGCCTCCAAAGAGCAGCAAAGCCTTACATGTACAGCGCACTGCTGGTATCATCCTGGTGCAAGGCAGTTTGGACAGGATGAACAGGCTCTTCATAGAGAAAGCTGGTCCGAATGGTATGATACATGACTGAACACGTCCATTTTTGAGTGATGCAACCGGTAAAATACCATGGGCCGTTGAGGCCGTTGATGAGTTTTTGTTTGCGCGTTTCTCTTGATCACGTGGCGTTAACTTTGATCGACCTTGAGGCATTTCACCGTCCTGAAATGTGAGCAAACAACACACCTCAGGTTGCGATATGTGCTTCGAGGGCCATGTCTCATGTGATGTTCACGGCGAAAGCATGCGAAAGCTACAGTAGGAATAGTGAACGCCATGAAGGTTAGTAGGCAACCCACAGTGTCTCTGAATTACTACAGAAATCAGAAATGCCAACCGAGTTCACCGAAAAAGTGATGCCAAGCGAGTGTTCAGCCCCTGTTACGGCCCCTGTTAGGGCCCCTGTTAGGGCCCCCTGTTACGGCGCTGTTTCGGTCTCTCTATGCCTCAGCTGGGCTTCCCGCGTGGTGCATCGAGACGGAACGGGGACCGTCGTGCACGCCGCGGGCTCAGGCGGCAGCCGCCCGGTTCTATGGTTTCCCCGGGAGGAAACTCAGTGCCCAAACGGTTGCAGAAACGGTTGCGATGATCAGCTCCTGATCTTTTGACATATGATACATATGGTTCTGAGGCTGCAAAAACATGTCTTTGCCTACAAAAACCTGGTTCCACCAGTATGACTACCGTTCAAACATTCATTCTGCATAAAGGAAAATAAATCGAAATCATTCAAAATGTACTTCAACCATCTTCAACCCACATTTTTCAGGGTAGATACCACTTGGTGGCGCTGTCCAAAAGTAGGGAACCAAAAAGCCAGTGGCTGATCCTCATTTTCCGAATCAACTGCCATAAATTGGTGTATCATACCCCACTTTCAGAAAAAAAAAACATATCATATTGTTGACTATAATGTGGCTTTTATCATAACCTATCATCAACCATATCGTAAAATCAACCATTACATCCCCATCTGCCCCTGCGGCCTTCTCCACTATCAGAGCTGCCAGAGCTGCTGGACCCTCCGACCTGAAAACATCTTGGGCCCAACAAACTGTGTGAAGCATTTGGGAACACCTAGGGTAGCCCTGAAACGTTATAAAACGCTATGAAACCACTAGGATCCACTAGCTATGATCGATTTCATTCAAGTTCCGGGTGGGCAAGGTTGTATAAGTTGCGTATCATGATATCATAGTACAATCATATACATACACGTGGGATCGCACGGGTATGTCTCTCCATGCAGTCTCTATATTTCTGGATATCTGACTTGGTGAATCGGGGTCCCAAGCCACACCAGCCGTCTCTGTGTCCTGGGAAGGAGACTTGGATCTGGTCGATCTGATCAAAGGATGACGTATCCGAACAGAAAGAAGCATCGGATCATAATTCCATGGGTAGGGTTGGATGAACCTGCAAGCATCTGAAATGCCAGAAAATCTGTTGTTTGTCAGATTTGATCAAATAACAAGCAAAACATCGGGCATAATTAATTACTTGAAGATCATGGAGGTCTGCTCCAGCTGTGCCAAATGGTGCGGTGCCAGCGAAATGGGAGTGCTGAGGTACAGGTTGAAGGGGATTGGGGCTTCAACCAGGATCCATGGTGACAGTTCATTGGGCGCTAAAAGCAAAAGTGATGAGGAGTTGGGGACTGTTGCTCTCGGGATCTGTAGAACCTCAGTAGATTCCAATAGATCATACAGAACAGTCATGTCATATCGATTCATATCGGATATCACTCTCAGAGACTCAGCACCCACTGCGACGCGCTCGACGCGTTCCTCCGTTGCAGGAGTTTCCATTCCCCAACGCCTCAGACGGATGTGGATGGCAACTCCATGCGACAAGACAGGAGTGAAGCCATGGAATGAAGCTGTTGTGAAAGTTTCAACATCTTCAACATTGCGAATGATCACCTATTAGATCTATCATGATCTATCCAAGTCTTGGATGGGGATATATCATCCACGACCTGTCAGGCCTGTGAGGTCCCAGGGCCACCACTTGAGAAATGGGAAACGACTGGATTCTGGACTTCGCTCCTGAGTCCAAGCTGAGTCCAAGCTCAATTCTGCCAGGCGCCACCAAAATGACATAAAATGACCCGTGGGTCCATGGGTTGAGGTGGACTACACTCCAGTGTTGGTCTGTATTGGTCTGTAACTCCAATCCCAAACATCCCCAAACTGTTTTGCACAAATTGCCATCCCCCTTGGATGTTTCAGGGTCAATTTTATCAGATTTGCCATAAAATGTGGTGGGTCATTTTAAAATGTTACTGCCAAATGGATCATGGGCTTGTAAAAATCTAGCGTCTGGATTCATAATCACATAATCATTGCATATTATGGTCATTCATAAACATCAAAACCCCAAAGACAGATGGACCCAATCATGGCCCATGACCCAGATCCCTGGGCCTCTGAGGAGCTAGTGACTTGCGAAGAAGTGAAAGACCTTGGGCAGCCCCAGGGATCCAACGGTTCCATCAGATTTGATCTATAGGTTATAGGCTATAAATAGTGTTTTTCAATGTGTGTAAATGTATATTTAGACATTATATTTATTATCATTATCATTGTTATTATTATTTATATTATATCATATCATGTTATATCATATCATATCATATCATATTATATTATATTCTTGTGTTTTATCATATCATATTATACTGTAATTTAATAAATAATATTATATACTATCTTATTTATTATATTATAGTATGTTATATTATATTATATCATATTATTATATTACTATATTATATCATATCATATCATATTATACTATACTATACTATATCATATCATATTGTGTTAGATTATATACTATAAATTATATTATATACTAAGTTTTAATTCTTTTTATGTAATATAATAGTATAAATTCTTGTTTGTTCTATATTATATATTAATCGATAAATTATACATTAAATTAAATCATATATCAAATTAAATTATGTATTATGTATTATATACTATATATTATATATTGTATATTACATATTATATATTATAGATTATTTATTATATATTATATAGTGTATATATATATAATAAATATTATATATTATATTATATATATATTAAATGTTGCATATTATATATTAAGAATTATATATTATATAATTACATATTAAAAATCAAAATATATATATATACCTGAGAAGGGGTGGAACGAAAGCCAGCGCTTGCTTTTTGACTCGCGCGGGGGCGCGTGAAACTCCACCTCATCCATATGGCATGGCTCAAACATGAAGCGCCCCAACATCAACAATTGCTATCGGGTCATAATTTTCCAATCATTAAATGGACCTTTTTAGGGTAAACTCCACGATTTTGTAACTTCTATATCCAAATATGTTTCCTACAATGTACTGCGGCATTGTGAAAAGTTCTATCTCAAGTTCCGTAAATCCGCCTTTGGTTGCTCATTTATCTTAAAACAGCGCAAGTTTGCTCCCACCTATTGTAGATAAATAATACCCGTTTTTTGTGTGAACAGTGGTCATGTGACCTCTCAAAGTCTAAATTGTTTTCTCCCCAGAATCGTGGTCCATGCTTCTCCGCGAAGTTCCGCAACATTTTGGCCGTACGGTGAGAAATCAAATATAGCTCTACTCGCAAAATGGGCAGTGCAAACCCAAGACAATATTATAACATACGTAAGAAAGGGTATAAGAACGAATGAAAATCGAGGAAAACAATGCAAAACCCACGGGAAATATAGAACAGTGGCGAACATGCAGTCCAAATCAAAAGTATATATATTTAGGCCATTTACAGACCTGGGTACCCCCCCCCACCCCCAAGGGTCTGGAAAATAGGTATTTTACAGGAAATGTCGTGGAATAGCATCATCCCTGACATCGATAGAGATAATTGTTTGGCATCCCGGAAAATCTTCTCAGCTATCCCACTCGCCAAACATCCCTTTTAAAAGGCACACATACTATCACGGACGTACAGATGCATATCATTCCCGTCATTGCCATTAGAAGATTCAAATTCTTTCTCGATGTTTTAGTACAAGATTCACTTTTAGTTCCGTTTCAGCCTTCTCAGTACGGCCTCTTACAATGATATTACAGCATTTGTCTCCTAACCTAGGTGGCTCCTGGGCGCAATCTTCATTCCAATGCTTTGTGACAATAACCAGAGGCCTGGAGCCTATGCATCACTTGACAGTCGACTCAGTTCTAAACCGGAAAGACTATTCCTTCCGTTTACCAGTAGATCGTTTTTGTAGTTCTTATCACAAAACTACCAGAATCAGGGAGGCACCAAAAAACGTCAAACAGCTTTAAGCATTATAAATACTCTAATCTGCAGATTGTATTTATTTTTCTTACTCTGTGAACGAAATCACACTTTTCTAACTTCACACAGATTACCATGAAACCAATTTTCCCATGCAACTCCTAAAATCTTACAACTCATACATCTTTTTTCCTATACCATCCGCATCTTGCTCCAAGGTTTCATGGCAATGTCTTGTACGCGAGTCAGCCACTATTTCCTATCACCAAACTACATTGCTCATCATCTAACATTATCTACAGAAACCAAATCGGATTTCCTGCTCAACGTTTCCGCTCGTTAACATTGTCTTGGTTTTCACTATATTTTTAAAGCATTTTTAGATATAACATTTTCCTAGGTTTTCACTGTATTTTTCTAACATGTTACATGCCTCCTAGCATGTTCACGCGTGTCCTCCATGTTGTACTGTTTTCTACATCGTTTCCTCTAGTTGTTACAAGCATTTCCTAGCTTGTACACCGTTTTCCTAATATTGTCACAACTTTTCTTCCAGTTTCCACTGTTTTTTCTACCGTTTCCTGTGGTTACTTTCTTCTCTTTTGTAGGTTTTCACTGTGTTTTGTCCAGCTTTTTTTATTACATGCTTCCTACCATTTTCACCGCTTTCCTCTATGGCTTTTTGTACCATTTCCTCTCGTTTCCTGCATTTCATGCATTTTCAATATATTTTTCCAAGAGTTTTACCCGTCTCCTTCAGTTTCCGATCGTTTTTGCACCATTTCCTCTGGTTGTTATCGCATTTTCCTGCACTTTCACTGTATTTTTCCAGCATGTTTACTGCATCGTCATAGTTTGTTCCTAGCAGTCGCTCCGGTTTCCTCCATGTTCCAACAGATTTTGCACCCTTTATTCTGGTTGTTATCACATTTTCCTGCCAGGTTGTTATCACATTTTCCTTCACTGTATCTTTCCAGCATTTTCCAGTGGATTTTGCACGATTTCCTCTGATTGTTATCATGTTTTCCTGCAGTTTCTATATCATCTATATCCTCTTCGTGGGTTTTCAGTCTATTCATGCATTTTTAATCTATTTTTCCAAGATTTTTACCCGTCTCCTTTTTGCACCATTTCCTCTGGTTTGCTGCATTTTCAATGTATTTTTCCAAGAGTTTTACCCGTCTCCTTGATTTTTCCGATCGTTTTTGCACCATTTCCTCTGGTTGTTATCGCATTTTCCTGCACTTTCACTGTCTTTTTCCAACATGTTTACTGCATCGTCATAGTTTGTTCCTAGCAGTCACTCCGGTTTCCT